AAAAAAAAAAAAAAAAAACCATTCAAGGTAGCCAAGTCAGAACAGAATACACATACACAGACACGGATGATGTGCTACATGGTATACAACCTGCGAGAGGGAAGCATGTGTGGCCGCAAGCAATTCAGCACCGTTGATGTGTGGACCGCAGGACCCATACTCTGAGTAAATGGGCCCTACTTACCTACACTGATGCCCCAGCCCCCCCCCTTTCCCCCTACTCAATTCCCCCCTTTTGGGAGGAGGCCCTTCCTCTAACCACTATGAAGTACAACCTTGGCACTACGTCACGATCTTCTCTGTGGACCAGCATCGCGGATGATAGTGTGCCTGGGTAGCCTTGGACAAGCAAAGGTCAATGTAACAATCCCTAGAGTGGAACCAGCCAGATTCGCCCGCAGAGGAGGAGGGTGTGCAGGTGTACCATCATCGAACAGATTACCTTGCCATCCGATAATGGCGGGATCGCCAGTCATCGAACCGTCAGCAAGTCCATCACCAATTTGTGATTGCTCATTGGAGGTGAAGTAGTTGTTCTGTACGAGCAACCGCGCCCCGTAGAGTGCACTGATGCTGAATCTGCCGGCGCCATCGTAGACGTTGTTGCATAAGTGGCATGTGCCGAATCGTACAAGAGGTGTCCTGGATCCGCTCCTCACGAACACATTGAAGGCAACTGTGACAGTCATCAACTTATCCCCCGAAAAGTAATTAGGGCCTCCAAGGCTTAGACCTTCCCAGTTCTCTTTCATTAGGCAGTACGAGACCGTGATTGCACGAGACATACCCTCCACAAGGACAGCTGACTTGCCGGCGTCTTGAATGACACAGTGATCGACCCAGATGTGGCGACTGTTGCGGATTGCAATACCTTCCGCCTTGCTCCTTATAAATGCGATGTTCTTGATCACGACACTCTCCTGGCCGGTGATGTCAATGCCAAAACCCAGGATCTGCACAGTCCACCCATCTCCATCGACAGTCTTGAAAGACTTGCACTGAATGGTGGAGTTGAGTCTGAGAATCGCTGTAATTCACAACGCCAACCATCCGACAAGCAACAGCAGGAGGTTCCAAACAGAAACAGAAAGAAAATGTCAAGATAGTGCTGGCCACCAGCATACAACTACACGCAGCTCCCAGCAGCACACACACACACACACACACACACACA